TACAGGATACCCAGGCACAATTAAATAGGCCAGATGGCACAAGTTGCCGAATTCGTTTGATTGACACAGATTGATTTATTTCCCTTTAAAAACTGGGGTTGGATTGAATTTTAACTACCTCAGATCTTGTAAAATATCATTTATTATGAAAACTGCCACTTGAACTGCCAGGAAGTAATTATTTGGTGACGCATACTTATCAAAGTTTAATTAATAGGTGGTCTGTAAATTCAGTAATGAGAATGGCAACGTAGCGTTCGATCTAGCAACACTGGAGGCGCTGAGCTTGAAGGGGAGCCAGAGGAACCTGTGATCCGTCTCCAGTACATGATTGAACTTCCATGTTTCTTATTAAATAGTTTTTTTATTATCTTCTAAAAATGATTGACATCAATTTCGAGCAACAGTGTGCTATCAGGTTTAGCTTTAGATTTGAGCAACAAATAACGGAAACTTTTGCCAAACTTTAGCAGGCCTCAAGAACTGATGAAAATATCGGCAGAATCCGGGATCTTCTGCTTTCAGATCGTCGGTTGGCAGTCAAATGATCGGGGAAGGATTACATTTGACTCACACCATCGTTCATCATATTTTGAGAAAATTGTGGATGACAGAAATCTGTACAAGAAACCTTTTACAAGACCAAAAAAACATCAGGAAGGAAAGGTGCCTTGACCTTTTGGATTCGACTGAAAATGACCTCCATTTTATGGAATGTGTCGTTACCGGTATTGAGACTTGGGTGTTTGAATACATCCCAGAAACCAAGCGCTAGAGAACGGAGTGGCACATTTCAACCTCTCCAGGGCGCAAAAAACAATAAAGATGAAGTCGAAGATCAAATGCACGTTGATTTATTTTTTCGATATCCACGGTATCGTAGACAAAGAGTTTCTACTAAAAGCTCCATCAACACTTTTACCGGGAGGTTCTTGAAAAACATCGACAAAGGGTAATTCCTAAAACATCAAGAACAACTGGGTGTTGCATCATGATAATGCTCATTGTCAATAAAATAATTTGAAAAACACAGTCTCATTACTTAATTTACAGACCTCGTACCTACAGAAACCAATACATTTCTACTTTTATCGACGAACGCAAGTTATATGTTTTGATCAGATATGTTTTCATGCGGCATCAAACAGGCTAACTGGATGTTTGAAATCTACAATTCGTAAGTGTTGGCAAGCCCTATTCATTTCTCCGAAAGCCATGACAACAAAAAAGAAACAAAGCAAAGCATTAATTGAAAAATCACGGAACGTCACTCCGATGACCAAGTCAATGATCCTGACCATAGATCATTAGGTAGCGGACACAAACAAGTCGTCGTAGTCCGAAGAAACATCTTTATCGGCGACGTCCAGAGACCCCTAAACAGCCATTATGTCCTTTGGCAGGATCGGCATTTCAGCAAATATTATGGTGTTTGGGATCAGACTATTTGGTAACTTTGAATGGAAGGTCATTAATCAGTCGGCGAAAGTCAAAGTCGGACGGGCGTGTCGTGGCCATAGAAATGGCCTCTGGTTCAGGCAAGCTGTGCTGTGTGCGACTCAGTAAGGCTTTGATGGCTTTATCCTGCACGACCAATAAACGACAATGAACGATTGACTTTGTGGATGGTGCGGCTTGCCGACGAAACGCTACTGTGTAAGGAAACGTTAAAGTTGGGTAACTACTGACTTAATTGCCGTTAAAATCTGCCTTGGATCTCCAGCGTTTCTTAAGGCTTCGTCATATGCTTATAGTGTCGACAGTTGTTTACCTCCTGATTACTCAAAACTGTTCGACTGTATTGATCATGACCTTTTATTTGCTAAGTTAAGGTCATATGACTTTGATAACAGCTCTGCATCATTATTCAAACCGTACTTACAGAATCGCAAACAACAGGTATTGAAAAACACCGTTCCTTCTATTTCATACGTTATATCTGGAATGCCACAAGGCTCAATTATTGGTTCAATTTTGTTTTTAATATACACTTCAGATATACATATATGTATAAATATTGATGTATACAAATGTATGCCGACGATACCCAAATAGTTCACAATTTAAATTTAGAAAATTTACGAACTGCTATGATACAAATCAACAGTGACGTGGAATCTATAAACCAAAAGTCACAAATACATAATTTGAAACTAAATCCAAATGTACAGCACGTCTCCTGTGCTCAGAAAAAATTAAGTATTGTTACTAACAGTGTTAAACTGAATTTTTGTTACGTATCCATAATTTTAGGTGTACAAATTAACTAGCAGCTTCGTTTTAAACAACATGTTAATACTCTGGTCTAAAAAGCATACATACGAATTTGTTCACTATACAATAATAGGTCCATTAGAAGTAACATACTGAATATCTGAAAAAGTTACTTACGTTGGCTACAAATTCCAGTAACATTCCAACATATTACGATTTTTATACATGAATTGATCAATGATTCTACATCTCCAGTGTACTCGTACCTTAAGGAGGGCAAAATACATTTTGGATCAAACCTCTATACTTTAAACATAGGAGGAAACTATCTTTAGACATGCCTTCTCACTCCAAAAGCTCTTTTCGTAGAAGTTTTACGTAACAGTAAATCAAGAACTTCAACTCACTTCCTTTAGGACTTGAACAAACATTTAGGGCAGCACTTTAGCAATTTTTATTCCAGAGACACATGTAGATTGTTAGCACAATACAACAAGTTAAGATGTAGGATAAGTAAATTTGTAGTGTAAAGATATGTTTGTTTATTTTATTAGTCCTTTTAAGTTCTTTCTTTTTAAAATCTTTCAGTGTACTGCGTCTACCTAAGGTTAGGTGTGAGAGTAGCTATACCAGCAACTCACGACTAAATTGCTAAAAGAATTAATAAAAAATCGAGCAACTTGGGGCCAGCCGCGAATCCTAGCCCTCAATTGACATCGAACTTGAAATCTAGGGACCCGATTTACCTAGAAAACAATTTTTGATTGAACATTTTTTGTTAGTCGTTTTTTGATAATTAGGATTCTTTTAAGTATCTCGAATGAGCTCCATCTTCCGTTTTATCGACCCAAAGAACGTATTATAAGGGTCACGTTTCCGACTGACCCATGTTTGGCTATCTTTGTAACAACCTTCAATGTTACTAAAAATTAAAATGGGACTCAAATGACCTCTATATTGTGTATTTTGGGTCGATAAAATCGGATACGAAGTAATTTTACATGTGATCCCGTTTATCATGTCCATTATTATTCAATGAAAAATTCAAAACTATGCGACATGTCACTTGACGATTTACGTAGAAGACTAGCCTCCATACAGATTATAGGCACTCTTTGAAGATTTATTATTAGTCGTTTTTAAGTAGGATTTAGTATCTCGAAAATGGGACATTTCCGGACCGAATGGACTCCGGGTTAGGTTTCCGCGATCCAAAAAACGTATTACGTATATAAGGGGTCACGTTTGCGGATTACTCATTTTTGTAACATAAGACCAATGTCGGAAAAAAACAAAAATGAAGATTGAACAGGCAGTGGGAACTACGGCTGGAAAAAATAAATTGAAAATGCCATATTTATTAGCAGAATACAAAGGAAAAGAAAGATTAAAATATTAAGTAAAAAAATAATGCCATAATTTATAAGATGTTTAGTTAACCTCACCTGACGTATCTGATCTTATTAGTTTTATCGTTAAAGTTGGGATCTTAAGAGATTGGACGAAAACTGTACTTTTCTGTTAGTTTTACATTCATACGTGATTTAACTGAAGAAACTAGTCCTTATAATAATGATAATAATTATTCACTCAATGTACAAAGAGAACAAACAACATGAGTCACATAACCAAACTGTCACCCTTTTCGATGTCTCTGAAGTTTTGGCTCCTAACAATACTTTACTTATGGTTCTGTTTGATCTCAGATGATTTGTTCTTGAGAAGTCTTGACATTTGCATTCCAGTGTCTCTAGTAGTTATCATTAGTTTGTTCTAAATGTTGTTTACTGAGAATCGATAGATTTTTTAGTCTTCCTGGAATATCGTAACTGAAAATATGTAAAGAATTTCTAGCTACCAGTACACAAAGCCACATTTTTGTGCCACATTGACATTATCCAGCCATTCAGCTCATAAAGGCGACACCTAACTCTTCCTCGAAAAAACGCGCCCCCTACCGAGGTGATCTATTTCCTACAGAACAAGTCGCAGTAGCTGTTCTATTTAGACAGATAGGATGGCACGCAACATGGAAGAACAATGCTTCCACTGACACTTGCTGTACTACCAGGAAGTGGTCAATAGAAATCTCGAAAATAGAAATCGGCTCTGTGATGCGATCGCTCAGTGGCGTAGAAACATGGTGAAGTTTCTGTTTGCCCAAGAAGGCTTTTTATATTGAAGTAGCTATGGGGATCAGATCTAATTACCAGTGTACTACGAATTCTATAAGAAATGGATACGAAGGAGGAGTCGTACCAGCATTGGTCAACGTATTCAATCTCAGGATAGCCAACTGTATATAATACTTGGATGCTCAGAAAAGGATCTGAAGTATCTCAACGCCATTTGTGAAATGGTAGCAGAACTCAAAATGAATTTACTTTGAAAGTAGTTATTGCGCTTTGTTCTGCAATTGCCTCGTATATTCCACTAGGACCTTCAATCTCTTTTTGGACCCTCTGTAATGTCGATTACAACTGGTAATCTTCAGGTGGAATACACAATTACAATAGGCATAGAAGATCCTAGCGCGCTCTGTGAGAGTTGCAGAATCAAGCACCAAGACCCTTTTCAAAGTACATATATATGTCTAAGGTCATGTCTGTGTTCTGCTATTATCTCATAGTTGGCGCTCGTATCTTTCAGATCACTTTTTGGACGCCGGAATACAGTAGGTCGTCTATCTTCAATACGTTCAGCGGTGGTACCGGCCATACCACAATATATAGCACTCGACCGAGTCAAAATAAGAAGCGCTTTCTTGGCAAGTCTATATTGCTTACCTCGAACGTGGCGGTATCACGTTGAAGCAAATTCTGTAGGCATATCGGTATTAAAGGATCAGACCAACGGCCATCCATGCAGGTGGAAGAGACTTGAGGGTGCCTGTTAAGAAAGTATCGCTTATTATATTTCTGAAATGCGTCAAATATGGACAAAGCTTCCCAGACATGCGAGCATGTCAGTAGTATGCCAGCCCGGTGAGAAGTTCTTCCTAATCCTCCAGGGAAAATACTTATGATTTGCATTTGAAGGTGTTGGGCAATCTATGACTAGGGCCCTGCAGTTCGAAGAAATCTACTTATTTTGGTTAGTATTTGTAGATTAAGAAGCCTCAAATTTGATTGTCGTTCTTCTTGAAATGACGCGTTCTATCTTTCTCTCTCTTTAAGTGTATGGAGCAATTCTGGAAACTCATGTTGGGCCAAACAATTATTCTACTTATGCTGCGGGCCCTGACTTCTTTTTCTTCCGTTTCTAACATTCACCCTCCTTTAATAATGGTATATGTCAAAACCTGTACAGTTCGCCTCTTCGCATTGCTATTAATGTGTTCTTTCCACTTATTTTGGTTAATATCTCGATACTGGTCTTTCTAGTGGTCCAAGAAATCTTTAAATATTCTCCCATATCGCCACATTCTCTGCTATTTAAGCACTTGTCTTTAATGGTTATATTCCTACAGTAATATATACCAAACGAGGCAGTCCAAAAACCGTAGTATTAGTTATAGGGATAATTTTTTATCGATAACGATTCATCAAAAATACCAAGCTTTATATCGATAAGCGTTAAAGAACAAAATTGTGCAAAGAACCACACCTTGAATTTTCAACACACCCTACAGTCAATATCATGATTTGTCAATATACTAGCGCAGTCTTAAGATGCTAACACAACGCTGCTTAGTTTGGAAACTCGAACAACTGAAGAACAGTTGGCTCATCGTTTCTGACATGTTGTATTTGATTGACAATTTTTAAAATGCCAAATATAAGAAGCATCAAGTGAATTTTGTAGCGCTCTGATTCATTCAGCAATTTGTTATTTTTACTTAAATCCTAGAGCTATTGATAGTAAATAATAGATTCATATATATGTCGGCGTCAAACGCTGAAATCCGTCATTCCCTGAAATCCCTAGTCAGTCCCCGTATTGCCGGCAAACACCGTAAGATTGATCGTTTGACTAAGCATTTCAGTCATTCCCTGTAATCACTGAAGAATTTCAGTCAAACACCGTAACAACCACATAAACTTCGTTACTGCATTCGCCTATTTTAGTCAAACGATAATATACCTTATCAACAATATTAAAAGAAAAATAATCAAGCACGAATTAATCTAAAAGGAAGGAACAATAGATTAAAACGGTGTCTTATTACATGATTGTCTTTTTAATCAAGTATTTACTATATATACGAAATCCAGCAACTGGATGCTGCTGTTGAGCAAGCCTATGTACGTTATAATTTAGGTTAGGTTCACAAAATTATAAAAATTAACTTATCTCCTTTAACTCATTTGTATTCCATCGTTTTTTCTTATTCAGCACGATGCCTTGTCGTGTCAATGAGTGTATAGGATATCTTGGATCCTCAACACATTATTGAACCAGCTTCTGCAGTCAGTTGACGAATTAAGCTGAAAATTTAATCATTTTACTAGTGAGGAACACTGAACATATATGCCAAAAATTATTAAAATTGGATAAACATAGGTGTTTACCGTTTTTTGTTACTCAGTATATTTTGCCTAGACATTTGGTCTTCAAATATTATTATGGTATTCTAGTTTGCATAATGGTTCGACTTCTTTAAAAAATCGATCTATAGTTCGGGTACAGCTCGAAAACGTCGCATACGCAGCGGAAAAAGCATAGAGGGCTGAGAGATTTCAAAGCTATGCCTGCACGAAAATAAACATACGTATCGTGGCCACTTATGCTCACATCTATATATATATATATATGTTTGACACCACCTCTGGGATAGTTACCACAGGATATGCGATTTCGCCTTTCATCGTTGAGAAACCCTGATACTACGATAAGAATAGTTACGATCAGTGTTTCTTAACCTACTGATTTTTCGGTATTTCCACCGAAATGGGACCTTATTTACCGAAGTATCGCGTACGACTTCATTTTGACGATTTTTTTAAAATAATTCAGATTTTTTCCCGTAAAAGATCTGGAACCAAAAATAAAGCTAAGAATAAGAACTATATTTAGTTTTATGCCCCATACCAAACAATATGCGTACACTTAGTCAGTCGGGCACACCAGGAACGTATATTTGCCGTGACTATAATTATGTTTGCATAACCCTTACCCCGCTTTCCATGTATTGCTTTTTGTGTGTACACATCTTTACAGAAACAGACTGGTACAATTGGGAAGGAAACCAAAGATGGTCTGTTCTCTTACCGATTTTGACCTTGAATTTCAACGGCACTCTCTACCGATTTTGAGTCCTTCGGTTTGGCCACAATGGTTTCGAGGGAGGTTGAGGTATGACCTTTCCTTGGACGGTTCATGTCAAGCCGAAGAATCAACAAAAAGGAAAACAGTAGGTTTAGGCACCTCGAAGGAGATTTATTGAGATCCTAACTTGACAACATGACTGAGATGATGGAAATTGTGTGCGAATGCAAAATACAACATAGAATTAGGCATATTTCCAGATAATACGTTGATCAATAATACTATAGACCTGAAATCTAATAAAAGCCAAACGCAGCCTATGTCTTACACGCAACCTACGCCGCTGTCTAGCGAATGGAAACCTCTAATGGTCCCTCGGGGGCCATCGTTCATTGCCGTAGCAGGGTGTCCGTTCTGTTCAAACTCCCGTGACCTTTGCTGGATACCCGCACTGGCCATGGATCAATTTCGCCAGGAGTCCGTACATAATCACGATTTTCTACTGATGATGAACGACGTAATGCTGTCTTCTGGTCTCTGCTGTCAGGGATTCATCCGTGAAAGGGACATTAGTGGTACTGATGTATTTATTGGCATAGATAATCGAGGAATGAAAGTCGTCGGACAAAAATGAGTTAACAGACGATATAATCGACAGCAGATCGAAGGAATTATCCACAGTATGTTTTTCAGGCGAAATAATTGCACTTTTGTGCAATTCCACGGGTCACGAAGTGACAATCAGACGACATTTTTGAGATTACCTGCCATACTGGTTAAAAATGACAAGAGATACATCAACAACTTTATCTGCGATGATCTAATACATTTTTCTGAACCAGTTTTGAGGAATGACGAATTAGTTTAATTGGATTCCTTAGTGTGAAGTGTTATGAGAGTAGATGTCCCGAACACAAATAAAAATGGAAACTAAAAAATTCGTTGTTATGATCATTTACACAATTCTCAAGTTTGTAAGTTGAAAGTTATTTAGAACTGGTCATTTGACGGCTATTAATGTTTTTTGGATCAAATTGTGTAATTTATGTGGTTTTGAAATAACCTATTCAATTTCACGAATACCCCATACACAGTTTAAATAAATTTTTACATAAACTTACCTTCACTATTTTCTACCATACAAGGCTATATACTTTTTTATTTTTTCACGATCATTTCTCCAAAATTGTCAGGTACGTTTGTATGGTGACGATACTCAGCTTTATTTTTCTTGCAATTCTAACGAGAAAGGTGATACCTTGGTGATTATTAATCGACATATTGATATATTAGTTGTATTTTCGAAAAATCATGGTCTACAGATGAATGCACAACTTATGTTATTCAGCAGATTGAAAGGCAATATTGAGCCCTCTTTTCATGTCAAAATAAGAAGTGAACCCATACCATCCATATTCAAGTCTAAGATTCAAGTCTCTTATTAATAAATGTTTCTAGAAAGCCTATGCTTCTCCGAAAGTTCGATATTCTTATCGATATGTCCTCCCTGTTGAAGATTGCTTTGTGAAGTACTAGTTTTAATTTTTGCAACATCGTTTACGGATTTTGTTTAGACTATATTGACATGGACAGAATTAAGCGTGTAGTAGAAGTCCTGTTTATGATTCATTTACGGTCTGCATAAGTTTCAAAAAGTTCCACATAAGTTGCTTGATGCAAACTGATTGAATATGCGATGTCGTCATGAGTTTCTTGCATGTAATCTTTTACAGAAAATTTTGCTTTTTTAGCAATCACCATATTTATTCATTAGGCTTTTCGCACCAATGTTCATTTTTTTATATATATTCCAACTACCACGAAGGCCTAAGGCCTAAACACCCATTGGGTACCGTGGGGCTAGGGGGGATACAGGGGAAAGGGGGAACGCCACACGGACTCTGGCGAGGGAACACGTGTGCATGCAACATGCAAACATTCTGGCTCCGCCTACGAGATCCGCCGGGTGGTACCTCCACGTTCGACAGTCAGCGACCGTCTACCACCTACGGACACTCACAACATCCATAGCCAAGAGAAAAATTTCTCCTGGGACGGGGCTCGAACCCGCCAGCGCACGGCGACTGATCATAATTTAAATTTGCGTTTCGGGGCTACATATATCACCTCCTCCTCATCAAACCTCTTTTTTTTAGATCTTTCTCTTACAACATTCTTCGGCCTTATGATCAAATTCCGAATGTTTTGAAAATTCTGCATCCAATACAGTTCAAAGTCAAATGTAAAAAAGGTTCTTATGAAAAACACTTCACTGTGCAGTAATGTACATTTTTTTGTGTGCTATAACTCACATTTTCTTTCTGGACTTTCTAAGGTAGATCTTTTTTTATAAATCTGTAACAGCTATAGGACTAAACTTGGATCATTTTTGAATGCTTTCAATGCTTTTTGTAGCTTATTTCATTTATGTATTTTGCTGTTATTTTCACCTAAACTGTATGTTGCAAATAAAAATTATTATTATTATTAGTTGCTAACACCGAAGAACGACGCTTTCCGATCATCTACGAGCCCCTTCCCGCTTCAGTTGGCCCACTTCAAGATTTGTACCAAAATATGCCTTTATAAACTAAACATGACGAAACTATTTACTTTTAAATTAATTTATTTTCTCAAAAACATTTTAGATACACTCTAGTCGTAAAAAATACATATTTGAA